ATTATATAAATAATTATCTCTTAATTATTTTTTAAGTCTATTTAACTCTACTTAGCAGTACCAACTCCTTTCGCTCTTAGTTGTTATATTTACTACTTAACGATGCATCTATTCAACCAACGAGGGGTTGGATCAAGTGGTAAGCGGTTTGTTCCAATTTGAATAAGGTCTCGAGTTTGAGATTTTGTGTACGCAGCAGCCCCCGCTGGGAGACTCACCCATTATTTTTAGGTGCGCGATGCGTGTCGAATCCGGATTAATCAGGACAAAACCTCATATACCGGACAAAAACCAAAAAAAAAAAAAAAACGATGCCTCTATTCATTTATCATACTTATTACTTTTTAAAGTCTTTTAAATTATTGTTTCATTTTTACCCTTATTGATTACTTTAAATGAATTTTTTATTATACCTCTTATTATCTATTGTTGTCTCTAAACACTTTCTTTCCTGTGGTATGGTAGATAGAAATGTGAAGGTATGTCATTCATTTTATTCAAAATAAAAACGAAGGATTCTCGATGATCCTAAATAGTACTTGGTTATTTGTGTGAGAGGCAAGTTTTCCTTACTTGATTTAATCTCTTTGTATTTATAGCAATAAACACCCTTGCTGGTACATTAGAGATCTACTACAATATAAAATTTATTGATATAGATGACACCCCTTGGTGGCATTCTATTTGTTGTAAAAAATAGTGTAAATATCTATATTCTTCTTTCATCAAATGATGAGTTATATAATAAAAACTAATACCTCCATATCATTAATTTTTAATTTAGAATTATAAAGTCTTAATTACTTGAAACACCTCTTAGAATCTTATTGCCCATGTCCTAATGCACCATAAAAAAAAAATGTCTGTTAAACGTTTTAAGCGCAAAAATAATTTAGTGGAGTTATAATAATGTTTCCTTAATTTTCACTCAATTTTTGTCACACCAAATTGTGACATTTAAAATTAGATTGAGTCATTGAGGTAGTAATATATGTATAAGTGATAATAAACTTTTTTTAATTTTATATTGTATAATAAAAAATAATATTATCTTATTATTTAATTAATTAAATAATATAACTCACTTAAATATTATGTAATTTAAATTTAAGTCTATCTATTTTTATTAAGAAATCTATAACTAAATTACTTAAATTGTTAATTAATAGAACGGCTCGCTCCGGTTTAGTGGCATTGGATCTTGGATTAGGGCTGTTCATCTCCGGTGGGTTGTACGTTCGAACCTCACGGATTCCCTTTCTCCCTCCCCCAATTAACTCTGTAAATAATTTCAAATTGTTCAAAAAAAAATTGTTAATCAATAAAAGACTTTTTTAAAATTAAAGTTAAGTCGTTACAAATTCACAATAAACCTAACCCACCTGCGCAAAACGCCCACAGAGAAAAGAGAGAAAGGTAAATGGAACGCGACGTTTTCTACTTTCCAC